GCTGACGCCCCGCCCCCTCCAGTGCTGCGGGCGCTGGGGATCCCCGCGCGCGCCGTGACGGTCTTCGACTCCGCCCACGACACGGAGGAGAACCTCACCCTGGACATGTTCGTGAACGAGATGGGCAAGACGGTGCCCAACAAGACCAACGACTCCATCTGGTAGGCCCCACCCCCGTCCCGCCCCCTGCCCGGGCTCCTAGCGCCCGCCGGAGCCCCGCGCCCACCCCACCCCAAGGCGCTGCTCTGTTCCTAGCCCAGGCGCCCCGCTGCTTGGGAAATTCAGTCGTTTTCAAATTCAGTCTTAGACAGTCTGGACCAGGAAAACCCCCACCCACGCACCTCAGCCTTGTTAAAAATGCAGATTGCAGGTGTGGGGCAGTACACCTCTCTCTGGGAGGCTGAGGCAGGAGGATCCAAGTTTGAGCCCAGCCTGGGTGAGTTGGCAAAACCTTGTCTCACAAAATAAATAGGACTGGGAAAGAAATAGGAAAGCCACTTGAGGGGCCAGAGAGTCTGCAGGGGGTCTGCGGGCCAGGCCAGGAGACCTCCCTGCGACCGCCGCCCACTGCAGCACAAAGCTGTCGCCTTTGCTCTCAGTGCCCACGGCCCCTTGCAAGCTGACTGCCCAGAGAAGGAGGTGGCGGTGGGGACAGGGAGTGGGCGGGTGGTCAGGCCCAGGGCAGCCTCGCCAGGGTGGGGGCCGGGCGGGATACTGGATCCACTCCTTTTAGTCTGCTGCTGCTGGGAAATTCTAGTTCCCGTGCAGAGAGAAGGAAAGGACGGGAGGAAGGAAAGAAGAGAGAACGAACTCGAAACATCGGAAAGGGGGCGCTGCAACGGTACTGTTGCAGCTGGGCGCGATAGCACTGGCGTGTAGTCCCCGCACTTGGGAGGCTGAGGCAGGAGGATCACTGTGAGTTTGAGGCAACTACACAGTGAAAGCCCCCCCCAAAAAAAAAAAAAAAAAACAACCTGTGTCATTCAGAGTGGGCGGTAACTGTCTAGAGAAGCAGGCGGGGTGAGTGGTGAGGTAGGCAGTTACTGACCCGCACCAGAATCGTGGCGTGCCCGGCTGGCGGCTGGCACACTCGTATCTCCCGGGGTCTGCTGAGCCCACGCTGTGCACGTCCTCCCTGCCCCGCCGCCGCTGCCCTGGACCTGTGCCCTTCGACTGACGAGGGTCCCCCGGCCCCAGAGAAGCCCCTGAGCGGGTGTGCCCACCACCAGGAACTTCCACGTGTGGACGGAGGCCTGGATGAAGCGCAAGGACCTGCCCCCGGGGAACGACGGCTGGCAGGTGGTGGACGGCACGCCGCAGGAGCTCAGCCAGGGTGAGGCCACGCGGGTGCGTCTCCGGGGTGCCGGGGTCACCGCGCAGCCCAGCGGGTGAGGCTGGCCCTGGACGTGGCCCGGGTGGGCAGGGACTCCCTGTGGGGCCTGCAGCCATCTCCGCCCTCCGTCCCCAGGGCTCTACTGCTGCGGGCCCTCGCCCGTGGCCGCCGTCCGCAGGGGCAACATCTTCATGGGCTACGACACCAAGTTCGTGTTCTCGGAGGTGAACGCCGACAAGCTGGTGTGGCTGGTGAGGACGGTGGGCAGGCGCGAGAAGGTCAGCCTGCTCTCGGTGGAGACCATGAGCATCGGCAAGAACATCAGCACCAAGGCGGTGGGCCAGGACCGGCGCAGCGACATCACGCACCAGTACAAGTTCCCTGAGGGTAGGCGGCCGTGGGCACCGGGTCGCGGCACCCGGTCAAGCAGGGGGCAGCAAGCGAGGGCCCCAGCACCTCCCGTCCTAACTCCGTGACCGCACCCCGGTGAAACTTAGGGACGCTACGAGTGGGGCCAGGTGTGGTGGTGCACACCTGTCGTCCCAGCACCGTGGGGGGCTGAGGCAGGAGGATGGCGCGTCCGCATGCAGCCTGGGCAAGTGACTTAGTGAGATCCTGTCTCACTAAAAAATAAAAAGGGCTGCAGACGGAGCTCAGTATGAGGGTCTTGGGCTCAGTCCCCAGTGCAAAAAAAAAAAAAGTTCCTATTTCAGCGTCTGACAGCTGTGTCCCCAGGGCCGCGAGCTCGGTCCCAGAGCCCCAGCCTGTCGCACGGACGCTCTGCTTCCCACGTGTGGCTTGGAGCCAGCAGCGCTGGTCACCAGGTTGGAGCAGGACGGGTCTTTTGAGAGAAGCCAGGAAGCGAAAAGCCACCAGAGCGGGCTGCCAGGGAGGGAGCCCGCGGGCCGGGAGGCGCCCTCGCCCTCGTCCCTGCCAAGCCCGGGCCCTGCGTTCGCCGAGACGAGTCCTTCCTCGGCTCTCATTGGCCGCGCCGCCCTTCTTACCGCCGTTCCCACTGTGAAAAACGACCGTGACCTTCACCCACGTGCTCTCTCCAGGAGCCGCTGCCCTCACAGGCCCTGAGCATGTCTAAAAGAGCTCGTCACGAGGGTTTGTCTAGCAAGTCCCACGTCCAGGCTCCTTCAGGGACGGTTTCTGCTTTTCCTTTTTCTGGGGATGGAACCAGGGCCTCATGCGGGCTAAGCGAGCGCTGACCACAAAGTTAGGCTCCCTGCCTTTCTTATTTTGAGGCCGTTTTGTTCGTTTGTTTTTGTGCTGAGAATCGAACTCAGGACCTTGTGCTTGCCATTCAAGGCACTGTGCCACTGAGCCATAACCCTTTGAGACCGTCTTGCAGAGTCACCCAGGCTGGGGTCTAACTTGCGATCCTCCTGCCTCAGCCTCCTAGAGTGGTGGGATTACAGGTGTGCACCTCCTTGCCTGGCTCTCAGGGACTGCTTCTCCTGATTGCTGTTTTCTTCCTTGTGTATCGCCAAAGTTTGTTTCTTTGCAAGTCCTGGGATTTCTTGCTGAAAACCGCACCTGAGGAACAGAGTGAGGCGGCTCAGGGGTTTGCCTCCTCCTCCTCACTTCCTGTGGCGCAGAGCGCCAGGCCATAGGGGTGAGGGCGCCCTGGGCTCTGCAGACCTCCGGGGAGCAGGGTCTGGCCGAGTGCGGCCCGGGGCACTGTCCCCTCCTCAGCTCCCGCGTTAAGCTTTCGGTCACAGCCACTGCTGCCGGTGGCGCTCAGCCGCCGGCCCTTTCCTCCTGTCTCTGACCCGCGTTGGGGAAAATGCGTCTGTGAGGCGTGAGCTCCGCCCCAGGTCAGGTGAGACGTGGCTCCGGGAACTGAGGTCTCACGAAGGGAATTCCCTCCCAGGGGCTGGGCTGCCGGGCCAGGCTTCTGCAGCCCAGGAGGACGAAAGGAGCGAGGAGAGGAGAAGGAGCGGGAGGAGGAAGAGAGCGGCGGAGGCCTGCTGGCTTTCCCCTCCTGAGGTTTAGGCTGCGTTTCCTCCGTGGAGGCCGCTCTGAGGCCGCCAGCCTCTAGTTCCTGGCAGGGACCGGAGGAAGCTGATTTGGATCATCTCCGCTGGTTTCTGGGCGCTGTCAGGCACAGGCCGAGTTTGAGGTCTCCATCCCTCTGTTTTCGCTGCCACCAGGAACGGGGTGCGGGCGCCCCTGGGGCCATGGCGGAGTCCCGCGGTGGCAGCCCTCCATGCCCAGGCGAGGCCGGGCGCTCAGGCCCGCTCTGTGTCCCCAGGCTCCTCGGACGAGAGGGCGATCATGGACCACGCCTTCTCACTGCTCAGCTTCCGGCGCGAGTACACGCTCCCGACCAAGGAGAACCTGCTGGAGCTGCTGGTGCAGGAGGAGCCGGTGCGGCTGGGGGACCCGCTCAACTTCTCCGTGACTCTGAGGAGGAAGGCCGCCACGCCCCAGACCGTCATCTTCTCGGGCTCCTTCGACCTGCAGTCCTACACGGGCAGGCAGCTGGCGCACCTGGGCGTCGTGCAAAAGACCGTGCATGTCAAAGAACAAGGTACAGAACCAGGCGGAGGCCCGGGCCCCGGGAGGGCTGCGTCCCCACCTGAGAGCCCTGGCGTCTGTGACCTGTACACTAGCAAACAGGTGTGTGTGTGAACGAAACCAGCATACATTCACCGCGCGTCCCTACGGACCCAGGCACTGAAGAAACGGGGGCCAGAGACACGGGGACCAGGAGCCCGGTCTATCACAGAGTCAGAAGTGAGGGCCGCTAGACAGGTCATTGCAAGTATTTCTAGCCAGGTATGGTGATGCACGCCTGTAATCCCATTCTGGGAGGCTGAGGCAGGAGGATTGCAAGCTAGAGGCTCAAAATAAAGTAAGAAGGGCTGGGGGTGTAGCGAAGGACTCCTGGAGTTCAATCCCTGGCACCATAGAACAAAGCAAAACGAGTATTTTATGGTGCTAGAGACTTGACCCTGAACGTCCGCTCGTGTCTGTATGGGTCCCCGGAACGCAGCGCTGAGCGAGTGGGCCGTCCCGACAGCCGGTGACATCGGTCACACACTCGGACGCAGCTCGAGAGCTTCCAAGCTAGGGGCTCCGAGTGCAGCCCACTGCTTGTTTCTCGGGGGGGGGGCGCGGTGCCGATCCCACCCTGCGCCTGGTGGCAGACATCGCCTCCCTTCTGCCCGGCTCCTCCGCAGTGTCCAACGTGGTCCTGACCTGGGAATCCGACACCTACACCGGCAGCCTCGACGCCTTCGACGACGAGCCAGTCGTCAAGGGGTTCATCATGGCGGAGGTCACGGAGACCCAGGAGACCATAGCTACGGAGGTGTCGCTGTGCTTCCGGTACCCGCTCTTCACCATAGAGGTGAGCGCGCGGCGCAGGCGCCAGGGCCCCCCGAGCCGGCCCTGCAGCGGCCACTGCCTGCGCGCTGGCTGCCCGGTTGGTTTGTCATCGGCCACCTGTCTCCTCCTGACTCTGCGTCCTTCCGACGTGACGCACACGATTGGCCTCCTCTTCCTCCACCTGAAGTTTCACGCAGAGCAGTGAAAAGCTCGGGAACCAGGGAAGGGAGCGGGTCCCTCCTGTGCACCCCAGAGGCTGCCCGGCGAGGGAACCCGGGCGCCCCCTGGCAGCGGTGGCAGAGACGGTCAGCAGCGTGGCAGTGGTGGCCCAGCCTCACCTGTGTGGGCCCCAGATGCGCCTCCGCGCACGGTGACAAGGGGCCCCCAGGAGTGGGGTCCTCGGCTGCGCGAAGGCCCGTCGGTCTTTGTGGGCGCAGAGCCTGCACGGCCCGCGGGCGCTGGGGGCACTGGTGCCCGGGTGGAGGTCACAGCACCAGACGGGGCTGGAACGCAGAGGAAGACACAGGGCGGTGGCCAGGCCCGGCGCCTGGGGAGAGGTGGCCCGGGTGCCAGCGCCTGGGCTCTGGCAGATGAGAGGTGGGGGCTCGGGGACAGGTTCCATCTTCGGGCTGCTGTGGGCATCTTGGCATTTTGGGTCTTGCTTGTGAGCCTGGCACAGGGGGTGTGGAAGGGGGGGCAGGAGCACACGCAGGTGCTGAGCCCTGGAGGGTGGGGGCGCCGGAAGATCTGTATTTTGGTGAGGAGGGGTCCTGATTAGGGCTGAAACAGGTCAGGTTAGGGGCTCTGGCTGCCAGAGGACTCTTATTTTAAATTCCCTTAAGAAAATGTCTGGCCAGGCGTGGTGGCCAGATATTTTCTGGCCACACACCTGTAATCCCAACACCCAGGAGGCTGAGGCAGGAGGATCTCTGCGAGTTGCAGGTCAGCCTGGGCTACATAGTGAGATCTTATCTCAGAAATCCAATAAATGAATGAACGAATGAATAGAAAAAGCTTGACAGAGCTCAGGAGGTAAGGTTGTGGATGCAGACACAGAACTGCGGGCGATACCAGAAGCCGAGCGAGGCGTGGGTGGAAGAGATCCCTCCTGGAGCCCGCAGGGAGCATAGGGCCGTGGCCCTGACTTTAGGGATGAGGACACAGGTTTCCGAGCCGAGCCCCGTTCCATCTGGTCTACCTGCAGTCAGCAGTCAGCACCTCATGCCATCACGTGGACACGCGGCTCAGCGTCTGTCTCCGTGTCTCTCCCTCTCCCACCCGCCCCCCACAGCTGCCCAACACTGGCAGGGTCGGCAAGGAGCTCGTGTGCACCTGCATCTTCAGGAACTCCCTGCTGATCCCGCTGACCCAGGTCAGGTTCTCCATAGAGAGCCTGGGCCTCTCCTCCGTGCAGAGCGTCAAGCAGGGGTGAGTGTGCGGTGCTCGGCCGGGCGGGCGGCGGTGTCCCGGGGACCATGGCGATGCCGCAGGAGGCCGGTGCATTCCGGTCACCGAGGGCTCTGCCTTCTCTGCACTGTAATCGGCATCTCTGCGAGGCTGGCTGTCTTTGGGGTTAACGGATGGACGGAATGTCTCCAGCACACCGCCTGTTCGCATCTTTTGTCTGCTTTTCTACTGAGTCATGCTTTTCTTTAATATTAATTTGAGAGAGTGTTAAATTATCACTGCAAATTGTTTATCACAGCCTCAACCTTTTTTCCATGCTGAGGATTGAACTCAGGAGCTTGTGGGTGCCTGGAAAGTGCTCTGCCACTGAGCCACACCCCCAGCCTCCCCTTCCTTCCTCCCTCCCTTCCTCTCTCTCCTTTCTCAACACTCACCATTACAACTTTTGAAAAAAATTTAGCTAACATTTTAATCTTTTTCTTTACTGATACTGTTTCACATCACCCCAAGAATAGATATAATCTCCCATGCTCTTTCTAGAATTTCTGGCTGAATTATAATTTGAAGGGTGTGGAGCAATGCAGGGCTCCACCTTTGTCAAATAATCTGTCCTAGCCATGGTGTGGTGGTGCACGTCTGTCATCCCAGTACTCGGGAGGCTGAGGCAGGAGGATCGGCCGTGAGTTCAAGGGCAGCCTGGGCTACAACAGTGAGTTCAAGGGCAGCCTGCACTGCATAGCAAGACCCTGTCTCAGAAAACTGAAACGAAACAAAACCAAACCAAATCTGCGGTTTCCGGAACTCGGGGGCGCAGCCCCTCCGGTGTGGCCGGGCAGCCCCGGGTCTGCGGCTCTGGGCTCTGCACTCCGGTCCTCTCTGCTCACACTCAGGCGCCAGGCCGCGCGGTTCCACAGCTGTGCGGAAGGCAAGCACCGCCCCTCGCTTTCTGTCCAAGGGACCTCCAGGGTTTTCTCATCACGCCCTTGGAAAATGATCAGGGCGTGAGCTGGTTTTGCAGCCGGTTTACCGGTGCCTTGGGGAGGGCGGAGCCCAGCGAGAGGCCCAGACTTTGCACGCGGGGCGGGCGCCGCTCTCCACCGAGTCAGCTGCTCTCACAGAAGCTTTGGTTTCTTGGTGTCTGACCAACAAGCCCTGGTTGGAGGCCTTCCCAGGTGTGCTGAGCTCTTGCTGCTTCTGCGGATGGGACATTTCTCATTGCGTCATCTGCTTGCTGGGCTGTATAGGAATTACTGTTTTTGCTACGCTGATGTAACCGTAAAAAGGATGTTACTGAACTCACAGGGCTTGTTCCTGAGAGGTTTGCAACAGTTTGTTTTTGTGTTTCTTTGTTTGTTTGGAGACATGGTCTTGAACCCACAGCAATCCTCCTGCCTCAGCCTTCCAAGTGCTGGGATCACAGGCATGTGCACCTCGTCCGGCTGATTCTGTGTGTCTAACAAGCTCCTGAGTGAGGCCAGTGTCTGGGCCCCGGGCCACCCTTTGGCCAGGGCTAGTCAGCCTGTCACGTGGATTTCTCACCGCCTCAGGGCACAGAAGGGTTTGTGAAATGGCAGCGCCCAGTCTGCCCATCTTGCCTTACGTGGGAGAAGGCCGCTGCTGGCACCTGGGGTCCAGGGTCACCGAGGCCAAGGCTGCGGCCTGGGCGCCTCATCTTTCTCCTCCAGCGTCCGTGGCTAATTCCACGTCTCTGTCTGCATTTCGCAGGACGGTGCCACCTGGCCAGACTGTCCAGTCCCAGATAAGGTGCGTCCCGGTGAGGGCGGGGCCCAGGAAGTTCATCATCAAGCTGAGCTCCCTGCAGGTGAAGGAGATCCACGCGGAGAAGGTGGTGCTCATCACCCAGTAGCTCTGCCCGCTGTGGGCGAGGCAGCAGCCCCGGGCCTCCGGGCCCAGCTTTCAGCACTCCCTCGAAGACCTAGCCGTAGACCATGCATGATCAGCTTTGACTATGCACGCACGCACACACGCACGCACAAACGCACAAACGCACAAACGCACGCACGCACGCAAGGGCAGTCAGGAGCCAGGGGCACGAGAGAGGAGTTCGAAGGCAGCCACACCGCTTGGCCAGAAACACCCAGCCTAGCCCCAGGAGCCCCCACCCTCTCTGGCTTGTGGCCCCCAACTGCGGTGCCACTGGCATCCAGATTCAGAACCCAGACGCCCAGGGCCGCAGGCAAGAGCTGCTGCCCGGATGGGACCCTCCGTGCCCTGGTGCCTTGGGCTCGCCTGTGCCGGGGTCCCACTGGACAGGGCCTGCTGGTGACGTCAGGCCCTGGGGGAGCCTGGCCCTGCAGGGAGCCACCCAGGGACAGCCCCGGGCGGGCCAGGACCAGCTGGAGAAAGGTCTGAGCAGGCAGCCAGGCTCCTGTCCGTTCAGGCGCAGCCCCTGGATCGAGCCCCTCCCCTCTGCCAAGCGGCCGCTGCTCTCTTGCTTGGGCTCCGAGCTGCTCTCGACAATCAGACGCCTTTAATTAAACTCTGCCTACTTCAGGACGACCAGCCGGTCCAGAGTCACTTGTTCTTTATGCCGCCGAGCTGCTGGGCGTCCCCAGGGCACGGTGTCCTCGGACAGCCCAGGCCTCCCACCCTGCGGGCTGCGTGGGTGTGTCCCCTGCGGGCTGCGCATGGCCGGGTCAGGGTATTCTGTGTCGTGCCGAGGACACGCGGCTGGGGTACTTGCGTCCTCCCCTTTCAGGCTCCCTGGTTAAGGACCCCGATCCCAAGGGCTCTCACCTAGGGCCCCCCTGCGTATGCGGTGGTCAGCGGGTCAGAGGGGACTGTCCCTGCAGGGGTGTGCACAGCCACCGCCACGGCGCAGCATTTGGGCCCCAAGAGGCAACGCCACACACAGCGTGATGGGCGTCCCATGACACCTGTGCACCCGGACACTGGCGGGGACAAAGTGGCTTCTTGGAGGGACCCCCCCCCCCAGGTGACCTTTGAGGAAGGCGCTGCCCAGGGCTTCAGACCAGGATCGCCTGCGAGAACAGGGGATTCACCGACAAGGCCGCCCAGAGATCAATCTCTTTATTCAGGAAGGAGGCCAGGCTCGGGCCCACCTCTGCTGGAGACCTTGCCTGGGGCTGACGCTCCTGGAATGTTACGCGGCAGCTGCCGCCCTGGAGAGAAGGCCAGCACCGAGTCCTATTGTGGGGGCGCGAGGCTGGGGTCAGGCAGGCGACCCCCCTGTGACCCTGGGGGCGCGAGGCTGGGGTCAGGCAGGCGACCCCCCTGTGACCCTGGGAGCGCGAGGCTGGGGTCAGGCAGGCGACCCCCCTGTGACCCTGGGAGCGCGAGGCTGGGGTCAGGCAGGCGACCCCCCTGTGACCCTGGGAGCGCGAGGCTGGGGTCAGGCAGGGGACCCCCGTGACCCTGGGAGGGGACGGCGGTGAGAAGGGGCGGGGAGGACGTCGCGTCTCCCTTTCGAGTGACGGTGGGAATGCAGGAGGCCTGAGGCTGCCGCCAGGCTGAGCCGCCCCTTGTGCTTGGCACCTTTCCCAGGGCCCAGGGTTGTGTACCGACGTGGGCTGCACTCCGCACAGAGCTGACTCCAGTGACATGGCCATGACCCCCTTCCTCCTCTGGGGACCCTGGGGACCGAGGCCTGCTCCTCCCCCCGGTGCACACCCTTTCCAGTGCACAGCCAGCGCACGGCTGTGCAGGGCTGCTCGGTAGGACACGCAGGCCCACAGCCCGCGGCAGGCGAGCTGGCCCGGGGCCGCCTCAGCCCTCGCAGGGTTAATAAGCACCACGCCGCAGTGCGGAGGGGACGGCTGTCCCGAGCTGCGCTGTGCTGCTGTAGGCCCAGCCCCATCCTGTCCGGCCCAGCAGGGGTGCTCCGGGTGGGGGTTAGGAAGCGGTGGTCCTTGCCTGCGGGGGGGCGGGGGGCACCAGAGTCTGGGGGCCGCCTGGGGTCGGAGTGCTGGGCCAGGTCGCTGCCTCCAGGGAGCCTGGGAGGAGGCCGCGCCCTCCTTGCTCGGGGCCACCTTCCTCCCTAAAGGTCGCGGGGCTTTCCTTTCTCAGGCTCCCGAGGCGATGCCCCCAGCAGTGACTGACCCCTCTCCTGGGGCCCGGAGAGGAGCTGGACACGGGGCCAGGGGGCAGGCCTCCTGCAGGGCGACACAGGCCGCAGCTCGGGCGCCGGGCACGGGTGTGTCTCACACTGCGACTGTGCAGTGGGCTCAGGCACAGGACACCCCGACGCCCCTGCTTCACGTGGGCCGAGGGTTCCCGGTGGCCATGGGGGCCTGTGTCCGGGTCCAGCCGTCTGCAGAGTGGAGCCATTACCCCTTCTTTCTGGGACGGACAGTCCCTTAGAGAACCGGCTGACCTGCAGTGGGCCCTGTCAGCCGGCCGTGGGTCCCTGCGCCCCTCAGGAGGGAGGACGGTCTCTTCTCACGGCAGGTGGCACCGAGCGCTCTGCATGGGGCTCCCCGGCGCCCCTGCCTGGGGGCTGCAGCCACCTGCGGGCAGCTCCAGGCCGCCTCGGAGGACCCAGGGTCCCGCCGGGGGTGATCCTTGCTGTACCATCACCGGTCCCGTACACCCCACCCTGGCGGGCGCTGCCTGTGCGTGGCCGTGTGTGCGCATGTGGCTGTGAGTACGTGTGTCGGGGGTCCTCTCCCCGAAGGGAGATGTGGCAGCCGTGTCTTCCTCGCCAAGGCAGGCGGTGGGCCAAGGCCCCCGGCCCAGGGAGAGGCGGCGGGAGGGGACGGCGGGCACAGCAGCCACACTCACTGGGACCGGCTGGCAGCCACCTTTAGTGAGCAGTCCCGCCCCCCGGCAGCTACTCATCTACCACCTCCACGTCCTCGTCCCTGGTGTCCGACGGCTCCTCTGTGCTCTCGGTGTTGTCCACGTCTGACTGGGACGCCTGCCGTACCAAGTCCTTGTCCGGGGCGATCTCAGGCTGTCCTGAGAAGGGGCTGCACCAGCGGAGGGAGAAGTCCCCGCCGAAGGCCTCCTTGACCAGCTGCCAGCGGCACACCTGCTGCCGGGGCCGGTCCTTGCGCTGCAGGCGCTCGATGCCCTGGGGAGAACAGGAGGCCGTGGTCAGCACCGCTGTCCCCGTGGGTCCCTGCTGCTGGGGCCGGGGCAGCGACGGGAGCAGCGCAGCAAGCAGGCCCCCACTCCCGCCACCGCCAGCCTTCCTCCTTCGGGAACAGGGCTCAGCAGGGACACCGGCCCCTCCAAGTGTGGCCTGGGTCCCTTCCTAGGTTTTCTGGCTTCTCCCTGGCAGGGCAGCAAGCCTGGCGTGACGAGACCGAGCGGGCAAAGGGGGCGTGCAGGACACACGCATGCCACGGAGGAAGCAAGACTGCATGCGCGGGCAGCTGGGCGGGCGCAGGTTCATGGCGGGCGCGGGGCCAGCGGCTGATCATGCAGGGAACACCACGCGGCCTCTCCCCAGCTGCCCACTCACCTGGCTCTGCGTGCTGGCTGCAACTCGGCCACCAGGCCACAGAAAGAGGGTGCTGGGCAGGGGGAGCCCACAGGGTTTAAGGACACAGCCAGGCCACAACACCCTCTGGGGGGCTCGCCCCCACCGCTTCTGCACGCCGGTGGACTGGCCGGAAGCGGGCCAGGCGTTCGCGCAGCGCAAGTCCACCCGGGAAAGGTCTCATGCGCCTACTTCTAAGTATTCTGTTCCCCACAAGAGCCTTCCATACCTGGAACAGTCCTTTCTGTTATGAAGACAGAGAAACTGAGGCACACGGTCACAGAGATTTAAGTTTCTTGAAAAAAAAACTGGAAGTTAAAGAGTGGATCTCAGGGCATCTCCTTCTAAGCCATTTACGCAGCACCAAGGGGAACATGGCAGCTTTACAGGAGGGAGACGCAGACGCCAAGGTGACCAACGACCGCGTTGAAGGCCGGACGCCGCCCGTGCCTCCAGACACGCCCAGGATGGAACCCTCAGGGGCTCGCCTGAACGTCGCCTCCCTACTCAGAACCAGAGAAAGCATCTAATGCAAGCTGAGGGCTTTTCCGCAGAATGCCCGGCCTCCGGGCCTTGGAACAAGGGCTCACAGGCTTCGAGGAAACCGTTCTGGAATCGCTAGCACAGCAGCAAGGACGAATCCAATGCCCCAGGACAGGACGCTGCAGAGGGACCCACCTCACGGCTCACGTGTTTCACCTCGATTTAAAGTAAGGCTGAGGTCACGACAACTAGAGAAAAACTGAATGGTCACAAATGGGAGGCGACTGCGGAGCCGTGACAAACGTCATGCGGGACCCTGGAGTAGAGAAGGGCCCCAGGAGAACAACTGGAGCAGCGTAAGGTTTACAAGGGGTGATCAAAATACACGGCGGCTGTTCCAATTTTTTAAAATGTACAGCAGTACGACACACTGCTGTGCGTCCCCCAGGACACTTCCCCTGCCCCGCACTCTCCCGTGTGCTCGCCCACTTTCCTGTCTGAACAAATGTGATCAAAAATACAGTGACTGCTGCTGCTGAGAGCCATCCCCTGGGAAGGCAGGGTCCTGAGGACGTGCCGCTGTGCCTCATCCTCCTTACTCACTGGGCCTGGCATCATGCGACTTCTGGCTCTTCCCCAAAGTCTTTTTGTTGTTGTTGTTTTGGTCTTTTTGAGACAGAGTCTTGCTATGCAGTTCAGGCTGGCCTTGAACTCACTTTGTAGCCCAGGCTGGCCTTGAACTTACAACAATCCTCCTGACTCAGCCTCCTGAGTGCTGGGATTACAGGCATGTGCCAGGATGCCTGGCTCTTCCCCACAGTTGAAAATGACCATGGAAGGGAAACGTCTCGAATTGGCTGAGGACCCCGAGGCAGCTGGGACCGCACAGCTGGGTCAGCTTCCTGCGCCTGCCTTGGAGGGTGGAGGGGCCCGGGGTCCCTGCTCTGCTGAGGAGCCAGTGCTGCTGAGGTCACTGACGGCTCTTGAAGGAGGCGTGTCCAATGAAGGCTTTCCTTCAGGAACGGCATCGGCCAGGGTCTCGTTCTGCTGTGAACGCTCTCTGTCTGCGAAGGGTTCTTGTTATGTCGCCCCAGCTGGTCCTGAACTCCTGCGCTCCAGGGAGCCTCCTGCCTCAGCCTCAAGTGCCAGGAACACAGGCGCAGGCCGCTATGCTGGCTCCTGGTGAATTCTTTCCCTTCCGAGAGGCGACCCAGGTTGGATCATCTTTAAAAGGCCTGAGACCCTGTGGGTGCTGGGCCACAGATGGGGACCAAAGGCTAGGACACGAGGCCGTGGCCACGCCGGTCACCAGCCCTGGCTGCCACTGCTGCTAGGGGTCCCTGGTTCCTGTCTTCTCTTGCTGCCGTCGGGCTGGCTCTGCGGCGATGGTGCCCTTGGTTGAGACGGCTCGCCCAGGAGATGGTCGAGGGGCAGCCCTGGGCCTGTTCTCCGGAGGCTCCCTTGTTGGGGAGGCCACAGGTTGGGGGGAGGGGGCTCGGTGGCTTCTGGCAGCGGGTACCTATCTGCCTCCCTGGTGGCGCAGCCCACGCTGTACCAAGCTGAGACCCAGGGCCAGCAGGCAGCAGGACAATGTGGAGGCCGTCTCGGCCGGGCTCACGTGCCCCACAGCACCGCAGGGGGGCGCTCTGGGCCCAGAACTCCTGGCTCCACGGCGAGGTCAGGGCTGGGGCTGGAGAATGTGCCTCTCCAGCCAGTTCCAGGCGACGCGGATGCTGCGGGACAGGACCGGCCCGCGGCCTAGTCCCGCCAGCCTTTCTGCACCTGTGTTCTTTCTTATCCAAGGGCTCCGGAGCCGGGGCTGCAGCCTAGAGCACGGCACTCGCCTTGCACGTGTCCAGCCCAGCACCGCCGAAGCACAGGGACCTTGTAGGGGGACCCTGACCTCTCTTGGCTGGGCCCCCTTTAACCCGCCGCGGGGCATCCTGAACAGAGACCTAAGCCCCACGAGCCTGCGGGGAGGGCTCTGAGCTGCCTGCCCGAGTGGGTGTTTCCTTGAGACAGCGTCAGGCTGATCTGGAACTCACTATGGAGCCAGGCTGGTCTCGAAATTGTGGCAATTCTACTGCCTCAGCCTCCTGAGTTGCGTGGTTGTTTAATAAAGGTGACTCTCCCCATCTGGAAGCATCCTGACCAAGATGGAGGGCGCTGCTAAGCGGCTTAGGCTCGATGAGCAGCAGCTGCCGACGCTCTTGCTCCCCCAAGGAGGAGCTCTTCCCGACAGAGGGGCAGGGGAGACTCGCCGCGCGTCTCCACCCAGGGAACTTGCTAGCCTGACGTCACCACGCCACGCCGACGCCTCCGGTGCTGTCTGGCTGACGCTCACACATGGGGCGCCGGGCCCTTTCACTCCCACCGCAGAGCCCTCGTCCAGGACGAGCTGTGTGCGGCTCCCCGCGGGGTCCTCCGTCTGGGACGCACGGAGAGCGCGGCGGGCTCTGGTCCCCGAGTGGCAGCCAGGCTGGGGCGCACGTGCTGTGCCAGCCACAGGGCATCAGGGAAGGGTCGGGCCATAGAGGCCCCTTGGCTTCCGGTCTTGGGCGCAGTGCTCCTCTCTGGCGTGAGATGGGGACGGCCACCTGTCCAGCCAGAAACCGAGTCAAGATGCCTGAGGGACTCTTCCTGGGGAGGACACGCAGGAGGCTTGGGGAGGTGAGGAGCCGCAGCGCTGGGGGGTAATAACTCAACACATGGCTACCGACGCAGGCCTGGGAGTCTCCGGAAAGAAGCCACCCGGTCACTTAAAAGGCCTTGCAAGGGCTGTTTCCGCAGCTCCGTGCTGGTCCCCGGGAGGGAGGCCCCGTCCTGAGGGCGCTGTGGCGTCGTGTACACACGCCCACGGCCTCCACGCCTGACACAAAACAGGAAACGCCACATACACTCGCTGAAGAGACTGGAAAACAACCAAGCCACACAGCCTCGGGCAGCCGACTCCCGGGCACAGGGCTCTGAGCAGGGAGGCGTGCCCTCAGAGGGGTGGCCTCTCTGCCCCTCACTGGACACAGCGGGGAGCGCCTCAAAGCCGGGCGCAGCGGGGTGCAGGTCTGCCCCGCCCTCCTCTGCCTCAAGTCTGCTGTCTGCCCCACCCCCCAGACTCAGGCCTTTCCCGGGGAGCCGCGGTGCGTCTGTGACAGCGAGGGACTGAAAGCCCACTCAGTGACCCCCGCAAGACAGGATGCAGCGCAGCAGAGAAGACGCCGGGCTCACGCTCCGTCCTGCGGGGCGGCTGGGAGAGAGACGGCGAGGCCAGGGCAGGTTTGGAAAAGTTTTATTGCATCGTTTCCACGTGGAAGCACGGACGGAACGGAAAGAGGGAGCATGTTCCACCTTCAGGCAGCTGAGGGCTGGGTCCGCTCCCTCCCCGCGCAGGTCCAGACCCAACAGAGCTCTCCCCCGCCCCGCCCCGAGCCAAAGCAAGAAGGGGAGGTTTGTGGCAACTGCTTAAAAAAAAAAAACGAATCAGCGTGTGGGATTCACGTGGTCAGGGCTCCCTTGGTTGTCCTCGAGTTTCGGGGCCCTTTCCCCTAGCTCACGACTTCCTCTCAGTGGAACCTAAGACAGGAAGCGCCCCCCAAGTGGAAAAGCTGGCCGGCCCTGCAGCAGCGTCCTGAGCCCAGCCGGCGGGACCATCTGTCAACCTTGGGGATGCGGCCTGGCCCCAGCCAGGACAAGAGGGGGGCCCTGCCGGGGTGGCAAGGAAGGACGGAGGCGTGACAAAGGGGCACGGAGCGCGTCTGAAATCGCGTGTTCTTCCCTCTTGATTGTATAAGGCATTTTGAGCTAGAAAACTCTCCTTCCTACGCTTCCAAACCATCGGAGGGCTCTGCGGCCGGCTGGGAACACACACGCGACCCCTCGCTGCTCCCTCCCCAGCCCATCAGTACAGGCAGCTGCGAGCTTGTGGAGAGGAGTGAACGCGGCCACCAGGGAGGAGGCGCGATCTGCCGCCTGGGCCTCCAGGGGCCAGCAGCGTCGTCCAGGAGGTTTTCAGCTCCCAGGCGCCCGCCGTGGCTCCCGGGCAGCGGGGCAGGGCCGTCCACCCGCACACTGCACAGGGTACGTCTCGCTCAGTTAGTACAAGTGGCGCAGCTCGGGGACAGCACTTCCACGTTAGTCACGCCAGACAGACAGCAGAGAGGAAGCCGGACGCCAGAGAGGTGATTGTAAAAGAAAAAGAGCAGCTTCAGTTATCAGAAAATCAGAAGGATGGTTTTTTAAAAAAATAAAACATGAGGTGTTTTTTTTTCTCTGCAATGCTCAGCCATTTCACTTGAGACATAAAAAAGTTTTCTGAGGAGTCGTTTTGCTTTTCGGTCTACACATTCGTGAGAATGGGCCGGGCAGACGTGCGCAGGCGCCGTGTCGGGCGGCAGTGCCGGGCGGGCCTCAGACCACGTACTGGTATGGGTCGGCCTTGCCGTGGTCCGGCGTGGCAAAGGGGCTGGCCCAGCCCAGGGAGAAGGGGTGGCCGAAGACGGCTTTCATGTTCATCCACTTTGTTTTTTTAGCCCATCTTCTCTCTTCCTTTTTCAACTGCTCTATTCCCTGAAAACAAGAACAATCGCACTTTCAGTCACGCACTTCATTGCCGGAGTTTTGGGGAGGGATGGCCGTACCTCAAGGTGACCAGAGGACTTGCTTCCCTCTGTTTTTTTTTTTGTCTTTTTGTGACAGGGTCTCACTAGGCAGTTCAGGCTGGCCTTGAGCTCACTTTGTAGCCCAGGCTGGTCATGAACTCGCAACAATCCTCCAGCCTCAGCCTCCTGAGTGCTGGGATTACAGGTGTGCGCCACCACACCTGGTGACCCTTTTGAGGCCATTTAGCTACCTACATAACACATTTTTTTTGTCATAGGAAGTGTCATTTCAACAAATTCCTTTTTGATGGGCACATATTTACAAGTCCCTCCAAGAAGGAAAGGTAAAGAGGCCACCAGCAGGGCCCTACGCCACTTATGTTCCCAACGCTGCGGCTATGGGTGCGGGCCAGGCCAGGGTGCTCCTAGCTTCCCAGGTGCTGCAGGGCCTTCGGCAGGGGGAGCCTCGAACAGGCAGGAGCTCGCCCTCACAACAACCAGCAGTGACTGTTCACACGGGACAGATTCATGGGAAGCCGAAGCTACCGTGACCACTTTGCAGACAAAAAAAAAGACAAAGAAAGGAACAAAAAGCAAGAAATCAAGGCCCGTCTGGAGCGCAGCGTTGCTGGCCCAAGGCCAGAAAGCAGGTGGCGGGAGGGACAGGAGCGAGGGGAGAAGGCGCCAGGGAGACGGCGAAGGTTAGTACAGTGCAGAGGTGTGGCCGGGTCAGCGCGGCTGCCCGAGACTGCGCCACCTGCAGTCCCCCCTTCACAGCAGCGATGGCCGAGGGCGGGGCCTGAGCGCGGGTCCTTGTGCAGAGCGGCAGCGGCCGGTGGCTTCTGCCAGGAACATGGCAGGGGGTGGGAGGGCCGGGTCTGGGCCTGTCTCCGCAGCCTCAGGACCTGGGCAGGCATCGGTCCGGAGGACGAGGCCCTCTGCCCCTCCCCCCGCCCCCTTCCCACCAGGCCTCCCGCTGGGCATGGCTGCGGGTGGGGCCGCCTGTCTCCAGCTGCTGAGGGTCACACGCTGCTCCCAACATGGCTGGGTCTACACTGGCTGCCGTTTCGACAGCGCCCCCGTGACACTGCCCTCCTCACGCTGAAGGGCCGTGGCAGGAAGCCAGGCCTCAAACCGCGGAGCGGGCCCTGAGCACACGCGGTGGCTGCGGCAGCACCACCCGAGCGCGTGCCCGCTCCCGAGCCAGGTGGCTGTCTTCCCGCAAGCCTCCGGGACCCTGGTGGCCCGGCCCAGTACTGTCAGAGCGCCGCCCGCGCGGCCTCAGGAGCTGGGCGCCGGGGCTGGGCCAGGACCCGAGGCTCTGCTCCTCCCGGTCGGGCCCGGAGCTGCCCTTCTTCCCAGAGCCCTGTGTCTGCACCCCAAGGTTTAAAAAGTCAAAAACCACATTCAAGCCGAAGGCTCCTGGCCACCGCAGGAAGGGCAGGAGGTGCCCGTGGGGAGCAGCTCCTTCCGGGCCAGAGAAGGGCGCAGGGCGGGAGGGGACCCCGCTGCCTTGGAGCTCGCTGCCCTGGAGGCTGTGCTCCGGGAAGCCGGCCTCGCCTGCCCCCGAGGGTCAGGACCCTTTCCCACGGCGGAGTGCAGAGGGAAGGCGCGCCCAGCGCCTGACACTGCAGGAGGCCGCCCAGGGCTGCAGGGCACTGCGCAGGGCGAGCTCCGGCCCCACCGCCCAGCCTGGCCTGTGCGAGGCCCGCCGGCGCAGGGTGGGCACCGCCACCTACCGTCTCATCCGTGCAGATGGAGTGCACCTGCGTCCCGAACATCACCGAGGTGAAGATGAGGAAGAGCAGCGCCTCGAAGCACAGCAGGATGAGGAGGATCACCGTGGTGGGCGGGGAGAAGGAGCTGCACTCTGAAAGAGAGGGACGGCTCGGGGCTGCGCTGTGCCGGCCAGCGGGGCGGCCGCGCACCCTGGGTCCCTCTTCTCAGGCCTGGCCAGGCAGGGCGTGGTGGGGGCCAGCAGCCTGGGCCCGGGGCGGGGAGTTCTAGGCTCAATGTGCCCCAGCGCCGGCGCCCCCTTGCCCGGCCCGGCCCTCACAGAGCAGCCCTCTCTGCCCGCTCTTGCTCGGGATCTGCCTGTCTGCTGCGCTCACGCTCCAGGAGCCACAGACTTGGTCCTGCTCACAGCTGCCCGGGCAGCCCAGGCGCCGCGGCCAGCAACGGCAGAACCCGGCAGGACGCGGCTTCTCAGACCTGGTCTTCCCTGTTTAGCAGAGAGCTCCTGCCCGCCGGGCTGGAGGGAGGGACGAGCCCTGCCTTGCCTGCCTCGCCCGCCCAACGCTAGAGGCTTGGGTGTGGGGTTTGGGAAGGCAGGACCCAGACAGACATCAGGAGGGCGGCTCCACCTCCGGCGAGCACCCCCCATGGGACCGCCCCTCACCCTTCATGCAAGCTCCCACAGCCCAACGGCATGGCCGGGGCTGAGCAGTGGGGACAGCTGTCACCCACGGGGACTGGGGGAGGTGTCCTCCAGCCCCACCCCCTGGAGTTCTGACCAAAGGTGACCAGTACGTGGCTGGGAGGCCTGGGCCCCGGAGCCAGCCAGGGTGGCTGAGCACCTTGCTGTGGCCAAGGCTCGCCCAGCAGGCTCTCTTCTTAGCTGGGGGTCTTGGGTAGGGGACCTGCTCCACCTCTGGGTGTCCCAGCCAAGAGGGGTGCATTCCCCTATCCCGCAGGCTTGCTCTGAGGCGCTGCACCAGTCCCTGCCAGCGTCCCTAAACCGCTCAGCGCCAGCCAGAAGCTAAGGGTCCTAGGCAGACGCCCATCAGGTCACCAGGCCCCATCGGGAGTGGACCCCGGCCCTCCTGGGGTGGGCAGATGTGCTGACTTGCAGAATGGTTGCTGCGTGGCCGGAGCTCACTGGAGACCCTCGGTCCCCTCCCACCCCACCACCCACTTCTGCTGGGCTTGGGCCGGGAAGCCCCAAAGCTGGCACTGCACAGGAAGACACAGGCTCTGTGCTGTGGGACAGGAGGCCAGCAGGGAAGCATGGCCTCATAGGTTCCTTTTAAATTCTATTTATTACCTGTGCGTGTCGTATACATAACAATTACCTTTACCTTGGGGAACTGGTGGGTACACACGTTGCACCTTTTTTGTGTGTGACATTCGGGACGGAACCAAGGGCCTCAACCCCGAGCTGCATCCCCAGCCCTCTTTTACTTTTTGAGTCTCCTGTGGTCACTAAATTGTCCAAACTGGGCTTGACCTTGCAGTCCTCCTGCTTCAGCCTCCTCGTGTGCTGGGATATAGGTGTGTGCCACCATGCCTAGCTACACATGGCGCTTGATCGCCTGCCTCAGACTCTGAGTGTGAAAGACCCAGCCCAGCGGGAGGCTTCAACCCTGACCCCTGCTGGCGCCTGTTCTTCCCTTTGGGATGTGTGCAGCCCTCTGGCTGGGCTTCTTCCCTCGGCATCTACACATGTAGGCGGGACACTTCCAAAGCAGGAAGAACTGGTGTAAGATCTTCACGTAAACTCGTGATTATCCCATAAGCAGTTTGAAACAACTGCCACAGGAAAAAGGAACACAAAACCTCCACGTGCTGGAAGGCAGGAAGTAAAAAATGTACGCCTGCAGTACTGGAATGAAATGAGCCTTGCGGAAACAGCCCTGTTAGGACCGGGTGGGAAAGTTCTTGCCCAGCCCGTGCGAGGCTCTAGGTTCCATCCCTGCACCCCGGAAAAGACAGACAGAAAGCATGTCACTGCAGAGCCTGCTGGCCTGCGCTCCACGCTGGCCTAACCGTAAGGGGCTGCTCTTTTGCAGAGACAGACTCGGGCCTCTGCCAGTCCTGCCCTGGTCCTGCCCTGTCCAGTCCATAGGCTTGCAGGAGATCTAGTGAAATGAAGTGGCCCTGCCACCGCGAGGTGACCCAGCACCCCAGCCCCGCCCGCGGGCCACACCCTTGACGGCACGGCGGGTGCCGTGGCATACTCACTCGTCCAATCTTCTTCAAAGCAGTGCAGGAAGTGGAATCCCACCATGATGAGGGCGTGCAGGGATATGAGCGCTATGTACATCTGCAACGGGAAAGGGAGGGCGCTGGGCCGGGGCACTTGGCACCCGGCAACTCGCACGGCCCTTCCTCCCGCCTGGGTCTGCGGGGTGGGTGGCACCCGGTGTGCCCTTCCTGGCGAGTTCTCCTGCCCCCTGCAGGTCCCCTCGGGCAGGTCCCCTCGGTTGCTCTCTGTGCTCAGGTGACAGGCACTTGGTGAGCTCGAGCCTCTGAAGGGGCGGCGTCCAGGGAGCGGGCACCAGGGCTTCCCGAGGGCAGGGCAGGGCGGGCACTCACTGTAAACAGGACGAAGTACTTCTGGTTGTTCTCGCCCACGCAGTTGTTGACCCACGGACAGTGGTGGTCCATCTTGCGGATGCAGCGCTTGCAAACACTGAAAGAGCCCAGTCAGACCTTTAGGGGCGGCCCACGGTGTGTGTGGGGGGAGTGGGGCAGCTCCAGCTCCTGGCCGTGAGGGGGCTTCCGAGGGCGCCAGCGCACAGCCGCTGCTACCAGTGAGGTACACACGTGTGGTGCGCATTTTAACTCATTCCCCGTGCACCGCTTTAAAGCGACAAGGAGCGCGCTGCCTCGTGTGCTCCGGGCCGTGGCCGCCGGGCGCCCCTCCCAAACCATCAGCCCCGCGTCCTCGTCCCTCTGGTCCGCAGCCGCCCGCCAGTCCCCGGCTCTCCCTCCCCCGGCGGTGCCCACGTCTAGAAGGGCTTCTGAGCCCGTGCCCTGGGGCAGCGTGGACTCCGACAGAGGCGCAGTGGGCACAGGGTTTAAAGGCGCTGCAGGGCAGTCCCCGCCCATGCCCTGGTGGGCACTGGGAAGCAGGCTGCACAATAGTACGTCCAGGGTCACGTGAGGGGAGGCGCACCCGCTTCTGGGAGCCTGGAGAACTCCCGGAAGCTCGAGAGGCCAGTGCTGGCCTGAAACTTGGTCCCCCAGTTCCTGGGGTTCAGAGGGCTGTGGTGTGGGGCCCACCGTGGGGAGGTGCTGCTCCCTGGCAGGGCCCTGGGCACGGGCTGCACCCAAGGCAATGCTGGCACGGGAAGGGCCTCCAACCCAGGCCTGCTGTGCCACACACACGGTGCGCGAGGGGACAGTGCGGCCCTGCACCACAACCCCGACCCCCACGGGAACCTGTCACTTCAGAGGGGCCGCTGCGCAAGCCAAGGGGGCTCGCAGTGCATGAGCAGCGCCTGTCAGCCCAGGCCAAACACACGACGGGGGGACGGCCTGGACACTAGGTGCCCCTGCCTGCTAGGTCTCCAGGCCCTTTCTGTGCTCTGCACACGTCTCCTCTCCTCCTCCTACCACTTTCCAGGACTTGTGCCTGGGCGGCCCCACCCAGCTCACCTACTCCTGGGCCCGTCCCTGTCCCTGGGGGCACCACACTTTCTTACTGTGCAGCCCCAGGGAGCTGGCCAGGCCTCTCCCGCCCATCCTGGGGCCTTTCGGCATGGAGACACAGCCCCATCCCACGGGACGGTGTCTCTCAGGCTGAGGCACGAAGGACAATGGCGGCCCTGCCTGTGGGAGGCCCTGGGGCCGGGCGCTTTTTGCCCAGGTGCTGAGAGCTGGGCCAGGCCCAGGGCCTGCTGACTCAGGCTGCGATGGGGCCAGGGCTCGGGAGAGTAGCCTGGGAACAGGAGAGAGGAGCCAGGGCCGCGGCCTGATGCGGGTTTTCTCTTTTTTTTTTTTGGTTTTTCTCCGGTACCGGGAACCGAACTCACAACCTTGCGCTTGCCAGGCAGGCGCTTTTGCCGCTGAGCTAAATCCCCAGCCCCGCGGGTTTTCTCTTCATGCCGCGCTGGGCTGACCGTGTCACAAGCAGGAACGGCAGAGCACGACCCGCCACCCTCCCAGAAGTGGCCCTGGAGGCTGGGCGGCGCAGTGGCCAGAGTGGGGACAGGAGGACGGATCCCACTGTGGGTCAGGGCAAGAGACGCAGGTCCTCCAAGTGGACTGTACCTCTCTGGCGAGCACTGAATAATGAACAGGAAATGCTCAGGAAGCACCCCAAGTGCTGTGTGCAAAGTGCCTGGTGATCATCGCCCTGAGGCAGAAGCAGAGCTGCCCGCCTCGGCCTGGCCAGGAGAGGGCGTCTCTCCTGAGATCCACGGGCTGCCGGGTCCCTGGGGACGGCTGGGGCACTGAGACTCCGCCCGGGTGCAGCCAGCAGCGGCAGCGAGGACAAGGGGCCCCGGGGCTTGAAGCGGGGCCAGCCGGCCTCACGAGCGCACAGGCGCTCCCGCCTGGCACACACGTCCACTTCCACGACAGGCGCCGGCCTCTGGGCTCGGCCACCAGACCTAGTCTGTCTCTCTCGCGTGTGGGGCTGTGGGTCCCCGGTGGCTGCCCGAGCCGTGTGGACAGCACTCAGAGCTCCTGCCTGGGAGGCGAGGAGGAGGAGGAGGGGCGGCGAAGGGCGGCAGAGGGCACAGGTGGGAGGAAAAGGAGCTGCTGTGCCCTCCACAGCTCCTCTCCGCAAAGCCCAGCCCTGGGGAGCTGGAGAGCACCCTTTCTCACCCAGGAGCTGTCCTGGGGAGCTGGCGACTCACGGGCATTTGTATCAAACCCTCACAGGCAGCCTGGCTCACAGTGAGAATGCTGGGCGCAGAGCACAGTGTGCCGGGGACAACGCTGGACTCCAACCACCACTCCGACTCCAGGCTGGAGCGGCCAGGGCAGGCAGAGTTTGCACGGCCGCCCCTGAGCTCCAGGGTGGCAGGGGAAGGAAAGGGTGGCTGACACCCCCACAGGGACAATTGCCCCTGCCCCCTGCGCACACTCCTGGGCTTGCCCTCGAGCAGGCGGCCAGGAAGAAGTAGGCAGGAGGGAGAGGGGCAGGCAGTGCTGCAGACGGCGTCCTCTTGTGAGGGGTGGCCGCGGAGGCCGTGCGGAAAGGCCACTTCTCTCACTCGGTCTCACGCCACCCAAATGCTGCCCGGGTGACTCCCGAGAGCAGGCCCCCAGGGTGGAGGGGACGCGGGGACACTGCTGTCCACCTCGTGACTGGCATCCCAGGGTGGAGGGGACGCGGGGACGCTGCTCTCTGCCTCGTGACTGGCACTTCAGGTTCTCCCCTAGCAACGCCGCGCAGTGTCTGGTAAGGATACCCGAGAGCCGGAAGGGCAAACTCTGCCAAGAGGACAAGAAGGAGGTCTGCGGCTAAGTTCTACCTGACCGGGCCCTCTGCCAGCTGCTGTGGAGGAGGCCTTCTCTCCAGTGCAAGCCCTCGCTTTGCGCAGATGACAAAGAAAAGACCTTTTCTGTTTTTGTTTCAGAGACAAGGTCTCAATATGTAGTTCAGCAGGCCTAGAACTCATTCACGTAGCCCAGGTGGGCTTCAGACTTGTGGTGATCCTCCTGCCTCAGCCTCCCAAGGGCTGGGATGACAGCAGTGCACCACACCATGCCCAGCTTGCAAAATGATCTTTAAAGCACTGTCTCTTGGCAGCCTCTGTCAGCAGGATACAAGGTAAAGGAAACCCGGGCGTCTGCCGTTCCACACACTGCAGTGCAGGCCTGCACCAGGCATGGCAGAAACCAGGAGGGGCTCCGCGTGCTCACGCTGCGCCCGGAGCAGGGGAGCCGGGAGTCCTTCCGCGGCCTGGCCTGGGTGCGTGCCCCTGCGGCGGGGAGGGAGGCCCCGTACCTGCAGTGGTGCGCGCGGTCCGGCTTGATGCTGCAGCACTTGGGACACTTGTACACCACCTGCCCAGGCTTCAGCTGCAGGCTCTCGATGAACTCCTTCGTGGCGTTTCCCTTGGGCACCGCTCCCTGCGGGAGAGAGGAGGGGTCAGGGCTGGGCTGTGCCGGCAGCTGGCAGCGTCACCTGCACCGAAGTCACTTCACGGCTGCCACCACACGCAGGCCGTTCAGAACGACACAGACGCTAACACGGAGGAACCCACTGACCCCAGGGCTGCCGCCCTGAAGAACTTCCTGGGCGCTGGTACACTGTTACGGTTTTCTTTTCATCTCCCTAAGGCCGTTTTCACTGAACCCATTCTTTCCCAAGCCAGCCTGGCAAGGCCATTGCCGCGCCCACCGCTCTGGGTCCACGCTGGACTTCCTGATAGCTGTGCTTCCCCGCTGACAGCAGCTTATCTCAGGGTCCAACTTCCCGGCCCAGGTGTGCAGCATGGGGCATTCTGACGAGCCGTATGCGCTGGAGTCAGGTTGTGCGGGGTTTTACTTTTCAGCAGTAAAATCACTGCTGCCCCAAAGATCAGTGGCCGTGTTAGTTCTCAGGAAGCCCACAGGCGTCTGCCCCCACTGCCTGGCCCGGCTGCAGGCCACCCAGGGTGCAGGGGTCCTGGCAGCCAAGCTGCACCGAGCCTGCTTGGCACTGAGCCCCGCGCCCTGTGCTCACCGGGGGACCCCCTTGGGCCTGGCGAATGATCTGCGGGAGCGGCCGTGTGCCGCAGAGGCTGCAGGTGCAGAAAGCCCGCACAGGAGGCGGCAGCCATCTATGCAGGCAGTCGGCGAGGTTTAAGCCATTAAAGCTGACATTGGAAGCCGGCGTGGCGGCCCCTGCCTGTAATCCCAGCTACTTGGAAGGCTGAGGCGGGAGGACTGCCACGTGTGAGGCCAGACTGGGTTGCTCAGTGAGACTGTCTCAAAGAAACAGCTGCTGCAGGCCACCCGAAGCACGTGGGGAGGTCTTCCAGGCAAAGCTTCGGGGGACAGGGGCAGAGACCGAGGGGACAGTGGGCACCAAGTGCTGGAGAGCAGAGCAGTGCGCTGCCCATGGCCTGCAGAGTCAGCGGGGCTCCGGCTGGTGGGCAGGGCAGGGCCGGCCCTCGCAGCGGGTCAGCAGCAGGCCTCCTGGCGGCTGGGGATCTTCACAGGGAGCCCGAGTCACTTGGTGAGAGCAGGGCTCACTGCCTGCGCCGTGTGCACCAGGTAAGAGCAGGGCGGACGGAGCCCAAGACTCAGGAGTCACTGTGATGGCCCAGGGTGGCGGCACTGAGCTGCAGGGACATGAGGAGGAGGGACAAAGGGGTGGACACGGCGGCAGTGGTGCAGGAGGGGAAAGAGGGGCACCGGCGGGCAGTGTGGCACCCGAGCCCTTGAGAGCACGAATGCGCAGTGCAGGTGTCACCAGTCCACTGGGCCCGCAGTGCCCAAGGGACACCCGGGGCAAGGTATCACGGGGTGGCCGTGAACAGGCCCTGGACGCTGGACAGAAGCTGGGTGGTGAGAGGCACACTCGGGAGCCACAGCTAGACTTCTGGAATGTTCTATTGTAAACTTCTGGCTTTTGCCATAAAGAAAAAGCTCATGAAAGAGGCAAGCAAAAAAGTACATCTCAACATGGAACTGCCCCGAATGAAGTCTGTCACCGAAGTGCTAGTCCGGTCTTATCCTGAGCTGCCTGGGGCCCCGGGGGTGGGGGTGGGTGGCAAAGGCCAGCCCTGGGCAGCTGGGGGGAGCGGCGGGCCTCACTCATGCCCAGGCGCCCTCTCTTCTCTGGAGGGTACCGAGTAGCTGCGTGGGGTGGCTGTGTGAATGGAGGCACTGTTGTGGAGCATGCCGGCGCAAAGTGCAAAGGCACAGTCCCCCAGGCGACCGGCAGAGGGCTCAGCTTTCCGGAACAGAGACCCAGGCGGTTCCGGCCCGTCCCGGCAGCCCCAGAGTCTGCTGCAAGCTCAGGACGCTGCCTGCCCGCTCCCATCCAGGCCCGTTCCAAGGAGCCCCTGCACAGGGCCCCGCCTGGTGAGCATGTCCTGTGTGCACCCCCAGTGGCTGCTCGGCCTCCTGAGATGCTCTGGGTGACTCTGCTCTCTTCACGGCCTGGCCACTGGAGTCCCTCAGTCCTGACGCGGCCACTGTCTCCTCCCGCCGTACTCCACCCGCTCTGCAGGCGAAGCCCGCCCCAGGTCTGGGCGGTCCCTGCACACTACTGTCCCGTGCTCCCTCAGCCCTGCTGTCACCCACCCCAGACGAGCCGTGTCCTGGCCCTTCCCCTCCCGGCCCCTCCTCTCCCAAGGTGAACGCCTGACACAGTCTGACCACGGACCCGGCCCACGACCCTGTCCCTGGCGCCTCGGTCTGAGCTGCGGGCTCACACGGCCTTCGGAGCGCAGGGGTCTTGAAGGTGCCCCACTTGCTAAGCGCCGCTCTCCGCCTCAGGGCTGAGACAGCCCAGCCCCTCCCCGCCATTTCCACATCCACAGGGCCGCCTTTCCACGCGGCCCTCACGGCCCAGGCCGAGCCCACAGGCAGCTGCCGTGCCCGCAGCCCGCGTGTGGAGACAACACGCCTCGTGGAACTGCGAACGACTGGCCTCTGTGACGGTAACCCCGGGCCAAGCAACGACTTTCAACTTGTTGCCAGCAAGCTGCCCTGGCCGGCCCAGCCCGGAGCCTGCACTCCATGAGCCCACGACGAATAACGGAGGCTTACTGAGCCAAGCACAGCGCCAAACGCTCGGTGACAAACCGCATCACGTCTGTTACCTGGGACAGCAGGCCTACGCGGGAGAGACGATGACAGTCCTCACTTCACAGGGGAGGTGACTGAGTGGACAAGTCAGTGACTCCCCAGACGACACAGCCAACGAGCGGCAAGACCTGGGACCCAGACCCGCGCTGTCCAGGCTGAGGCGAGGCCGCCAGCAGAAGGAGGACGCGCTAGCAGGTTTCCAGTCGTGAGGCGCCGATGCTGGTGTCCCCGCTACTGCCCAGTGTGCCTACCACACTCCGGCTGAAACCGGCCTTGGGTAGATACAGCAGAGAGATTCCAAAGAATGCCAACAAAAGAAGATTTAAAAAAAAAGGCATGTTGGGGCACGTGTGGCAGGAGCAGCTCAGGGGTAGGTGGCCCGGCTGGCCCGGCCTGCAGAAGGCCCTGGGTGTACGCTCTGGCACCAACGAGATCAGGGTGCGTGCGACCCCAGTGTGGCTCCTGGCCTAACCGGGCCAGCCCTAGCTTCATTAAAAAAGGAAGAAGCGTCAGTAGCTTCAAGGACTGCAAAGGTGCTCCCATCGGGTCAGGCCCAGGGCCCCTCTAACAGCTGTCCCAGGAGCAAGGCCACCCGTCTCCTCCACAGGCAGAGGCTTGGCCACTTGGCCTCACTGGAGCCTCCAAGTCTTCTCGTGGGCGTTTACAGGCCGTTCCGTGGCAGATGTGGGCCACAGCCTGGCGTCAGAGGAAGCAGCACTCTCCCGAAAGGACCCAGTGCTGGCCCGGCAGGAGGCCCCTTGGCACAGGGCACTTACACGGTTTGTATTTCTCCTTCCTCAAATATCAGATCTGAACTCATTTATGAGCTTAAAAGAATTAGGTCCAAAGGAAGGAGAGGCAAAAATAAACTAACTGTGAGGGTTTGTGCAACCGCTGAGGTGGCGCAATGCTTGGCTTAGAGACGCCTGGCAGCTGGGGCCATAAGAAACAAGCTGGTCCCTCGCTCCAGCCCTCTTTTGGGAAGACACCGTCCCAGGCTAAGTGTCTAAGGCTTCCTGGAGCAGCTCACAAGAGGAAGCCTTAGATGGGACTCGGGGACAGAAAAGACAGAGAAACCCGGAAGCAGGGGAGGGGAGACTCCAGACTAGGCTTTCCAAGGCCAGGCTGTCTCTAGGGGCTGCTTCTCAGGACCAGGGGGCCACTCTCAACTTCCAAACACCTCAGCTGTGGAGAAGGCCTGGGCAGCTCTCCTTGACAAAGAGCAGTTTTCTCCATTTTGGCCGAGCCTGGCCCTATTTCCAGGTATCGCTACGCGCAGAGCGGGCTAGGACTTCTCCTTATCCCTTCAGTCGGCTTTAAGCAATGCACATCGTTCCAGCCAGGTGCTGATGTGCAATCTTTTAGTGACAGGGCAGTGTTTCTCTGCCCTGTAGCAAGGTGGGATGGACAGCCGTGCTCCATGCTGTCCCATCCTTCGAGATAAGAGGCTGTGACTCGCCAGGGCATGAAAGATTACACGTCAGAGCTGAAGCACCAGCCCCAAAACATTAGATACTATCTCAATTGTGTTACGCAGATTACTCTTTCTTGGTTTTTTTTGGTACTCGGAAACGAACACAGGACCGTGCACTTGCCCGGCAGGTGCTGTGTCCCTGAGCTATATCCCCGGCCCCAGACTCTTTCTGCAGCTCTCTCTCTGCATACTGATTTCAGGCCTCCTTCCTGGCCCAGCTCACAGCACTCACCTACTCCCATGGTTCTCAGTCACTCATCCTCAAGCCACGCCTTTCCTCACGAACAAATAAAACCCGGGTTCGGCCCTGGGTCGAGGCCTTTGTTCCGGGTAGCCACCATCGTAGCTGGACTTAGGACTCCTTGGCTCCCCGCAACTACAAGCATGCCTCAGTGTCTCTGTTCTCACCAGGGCTTGACTGTAAGTGGTAGACAACTGAAGTTAACTGGCTGGGATTCCAGTAACCTTCCCTGGGATTCCAAACAAACTCAGATTGAGACGAGGACCGGGAAGGGCTCTCTGGATTCTGTCCCAGGCACATGCAAAGTGCCTCGGTTGATGTCATGTGGCCTCAGGTGGGTGTGGAGAGGGTTCAGGAGGCCAAGCCTGACTCACTGCCACCCAAGCCCACTGTCACCAGGGGCTCCTGGCCGAGTGAGGTCCGCCTGCTCTTCTGGTCCATCTCGGGGCCCTCCTTTGCACCCCAGGTCTCAGGGGCAGCATCTCCTGTGAGGGCAGCTTACTCCACATGGTCACTGCCCTTTGTCCTCTGCTTGAGCTCTGTGTGGACCCAAGCCCTGCTGCCTGGGAGAACCTCTGCCCAGCGGCCTGGAGAGCAGCGGTGGCTGCCACTGCTCTGATGCTCCACTTGGGACCGAGATATAAGGCTGGCAGCAGCAAGGTGAGGTTTAGTGGGAGCCACGTGAGGGACTTCTTCCTCCTCTGCCTTTTGTGCTAGTAGTGAGATGCACGGCGCCCGCACTGTCTGTGACCCCGAGTGCGTATTCTGTAGGGTTACCACCCGAATTCCTGACACACAAAGCACTGGACCCCATCAGGGATCCCGGGGGCCTTGCAGGGACTTGGCCTAGGGGTTCTGCTTTGGATCTGAGACCTGGCCCCCAGCCCTGCTCCTAGGAGGCCCAGGGTGCCCAGGGGTGCCTGCGGGGCCCCACCTCTGCAGCTCCACCCCTCTCACACCCGGGGCAGGGGTGGGGAGGACAGAAGAGCCCAGCGGGGCACATTTGCAGGGCCTTCCGCTGGCTTCCCTCGCTCTGGCAGACGTCGCTCTCCAGTCTAGTTCTCTCTGGGCCAGCAGGACACACCCACGAGAAGCTGGCTGGTGCCTGGGACATGGGCTGTGATTCTCACCCGCTCAGGACTGGAAGCCAACAGCACCCAGCACTTGCTGCCTTCTGAAACTGCCTCAGGCATGTCTTTGCTTTGGTAGGGCTCACCAAGGGGATCTGTGGCCGCCTGTTCTCCCCACAGTCACTACAGAAAGGAACTTCTCCCACAAGAGCTCAGTAACCCGCCTATCCAGTCCACCTGGCAGAGCCCCCAGGGCCCGCCACCCTGCAGCAAGAGGGGTCACTGTCCAATGACAATCCCATCTTGTCTCTTTTGTACAAAATCATCAGGGGCTGAAGACAAAGGTCCTGCCGTCCCAACACCTCGGGCTGCGCGGAGGAGCCACACTCCTGCGTACCTGCGCCCACACACGCTGCTCCCTCTGCTCAGAGCGAGTCCGTCACCTACGGCTCCTGCCCCTCGGTGCTCCATCAGGGCTCTGACAAGACCCTGGGCCTCAGAGTCAGCTGTGCCGAGTGATCTCTGCCTAGAGCGGCTGAAGTCCCCTCCCTTGTCCTCCCATGAACCACGCTCCTCCTGCTCACACAGAGCACACCTTGAGGGCAGGAGAGCGCTTGGGGCTTAGCAGACGCCACACTTACAAGCCGAGCAGATGGGCATCTTCTGCTCCTGCAGCCCCAACACAGCTGGCATCACGAAAACTTGCGCATAAATGCTTGACCCATGTTCAAGATGACCGACTTGATGCTGCTGGGGACACTCTCTCACACCCTGGTGTCTGGGGCCTTTAGACCAAGCCCACGCACGTCACTGCCTCCAGGTGACACTGCTCTGCGGGCCTGTGTAACAGGAGGCACTGTCTGGGCCTGTCCTTGACACCCAACTGATTCGGCCAGCTGCCTTCCCCAAGGACCGCTTCACAGCCCGCCACCTGAGCCAGCAGAAAACAGCTCTCAGCTAAGTGTTATGGCTGACACACTGTCAACCTGAGGCATCTAGAAGCTGAACTAAGTAACTCAGCAGTTCTACATCCGGGGTGTAGAGGGCATACCTTTATGCTCTAGGATGGTGCTCACTGTGTCAACTTGAGAAATCTAGAAGGTTAAGCCACTCACTCATTTTAAGTTGGCGTCCTCACTCTGTAAACACCCTGGGCCTGTGTAAGAGGTGGGTAGGGAGATGGTGTGACTGCTACAGCTGCCCCGGGTAAAGGAGGAAAACAGGGTTGCTCCCCCGCTTTTTGCTCTTGTTGCTTTTGCTGCCTTCCCCTGCCTTGAAGTGTTGCCCCCCAGCCATCCACCCTACCTCAGAGCCGGCTGATCACAGACTGAAACCTCCACACACTGAGCTGAATCAACCTGTCCTTCCATCACTTCGGGTGTTGGGTATTTTGTCTCAGCAATGAGAGAAAAGTAACCTAGACGCTAAGGGAAGAGCCCTGGTGCTCGGGGAAGCGACACCGGGTGCCAGGGCCAGTGCCATCCTCAGCACTTTCCTAATTTACACCCCCACACAGTGAGACAATGGGAGCCTTTACGAGTAATAGACCCGGCTTTCCCAAAGGAGACCATGAGCAGGAGGGAGGGTCAAGCCAGGGGAGGGAACATTCCCAGGGCCGCCTGCACAGCCTGGCACATTTAGCTGTCACCGCACACATCGCCACGCTTCCCCACAGAGTCGCCCAGTGGCACCACTGCAGTGGACCCAGGCCAGGCAGCTTTGCGGGGAGGGCGGAACGGCACTCGGGAAAGAGCAGGCTCCGCCCAGCAGGGCAGGGAACCGCAGGGGCTCTCGTGCGGAGCCCACCCGGTTCCAGGGCCGTCCTCACCTTTATGAGCAAAACCCCGCCCGCTTCCCGAGCTGCTCATCTGGCCTGGCTCCAAAGTGACAGGCCGCGCCTTCCTGTGCACAGGCCAGGCTCAGACTGGAGTGCCTCCATTGGTGAGGAGGCCCGCGGAGCTGCCGCCCCAGCCCGGGGGAGCATGCAGGCTGCGGCCACGTGGGGCCAGAGGAGGAGTGCAGGCCGCCGAAAACGAGCCCAGACATACTCACGGGGTCCGTGAGCATGGCCCGGCAGTGGGAGGCCAGGGCCAGGAAGGCCAGCAGGTTGAACACCAGTCCGTTGATGATGCTGTACACGTAGTCTCGGGACGGGATCAGCATGACAAAGAGGACCACGAACTCCGCGTAGAGGACCAGAAACCAGGTGACGATGGCACAGGCGATGCCACAGCCGTCGCGGATAAACCACATGGCTCCCGCGGGACCAGGGTAGGGAGGTGGCACGCACTTCTCCGGCTGGAGGTACTCCGGTCTCCGCTCAATGTCTCGGAAGTGGTGGGTGGGGATGAGCATCATAGGCTACTCTGTCCATGTTGGCATCTGAAAGACAGAGCGAGCTGGGGTCACATTGTCACGACGACGGCCACTTGACGAGAGCCTCGGGCCCGACAAGCCAGCCCCGAGGAGCTGTGAGCTGCCTCCCACTGTGAAGCGGGGAGCCCTTGCCCAAACCTCCTCTGACCGACGCAGAAGAGGGTACCTCCGGGGCACAGGCCTCGTCAGGGCCAGCTGGAGCACAGCAGCCTCCCCACCGCCCCAAGAGAGGCAGGACGGCGCCCGGCCTCCTTGGCTCCCAGGGCTCGCTGGGCACACTCTGACAGGAAAGATGGTGGAGGGTGAGGGCAGTTGTCACTGCTCCTGGGACACAGGAGGCCTGGAGGCTGACGGTGAGGGAAACGAACAGTAGGAGCAGGCATGGCAGCCGGGGAGGCTCAGCCAGGCCACAGCCCCGGGACAGTCCCTGACCGTGCTGGAGCCCTGAGGGCAGCAGCGTCTTGCACGGGAGGCCTGGAAACCAGGCATTCTCTCAGCTCACTTGGTCACAACAATTTGGCTTCTCTTCTGGGGACAAGAGACTCTCCCAGGCCTGCTCCCCAGGGAGGTGATGGGGCATGAAGCCCACGACGTTCTGGCACCTGGCACGGGGCCTGAGAGCCGCGTCCCCACCTGCGAGGATGCCCACCTAGCCCCCCCCCATGGGTGGTGCGCAAGCCGGGGGAGTCGGGAAGGCGCCTGTGACAGATGACGGAGGTTGGGACCCCCGCACAACTCACAGGCTGCACGCGCACCTCTCCGGCAAAGACGCCCATGCCTTCAGCACGAGGCCAACCGCAGCCCTTCTACCTGACAGCTGCGATGCCGATGCCGTAGCTAAGAACCACCCGCTGGAGTCTCCCCAGCAGTGCCGCAGGCTGCGCCCCACCCTCCGCTTGAGCCCTCTGCCGCACCACCGGTGGGTTTCTCAGAAGGTAACTGATGGCTCAAGTCCACTCCGGACCCAGGCGCCACGGGGAAGCCACCTGCGACCCAGGCTGTGGCGTGGGCAAGTACCACTTGGCCTTCGGAGACCTCGAGTCATGACGCAGCAGAGCCAATTACTCCGCGACAGGCCTGGCTGCGTGTGCCACCCGGAGGGCAAGGGCAGCTTCCGGGGCTGTGCTGCCCCATCCTCCCCTTCCCCCCATTTTTCCTCCTCCCTCCATGGCCCTCACACCGAAAAGGGCACCTGGGCTGAAGGCAGGAGAGTCTGGCAAGGAAGGACAAGGCCAGCGAGCTGAGGGGCAGGGCAGCAACTGCTACTCAGGAACACAGACATTCTGGGCCCAAAGTCCCAGGCCAACAGAGCAGCAGGCAGGGCCAGCCCCCACCCTGCGCCAGCTGCAACATGTGAGCCCACACCACGCGCTCGTCCAGGGAGTAGCAGCTCGGCAGATCCCACATGAGCAGCGCTCATCAGCACCAAGACACCACGACGCGGGCAGGACGCCGCTGCAGGCAGCGGGAAGCGGCAATTCCGGCTGTCCATCAGCTGGAATTTTCTAGTGGAACGACCTTGTGCTCTCCAGAGGACAGTGACCGCTCCCTGCTGCCAGTGACAAGCTAAGTACATTAAAGACCGGGGTCCACCTTCTGAAGAGCCACCCTGGCAGGCAGGAGATTGCAGGAGTTCTGGACCCTGACCTATGCCAGCACATTCTGAAGTCCTAAATTCCATCTGACCCGAAAGCAACGACAAGCTGATATCCAGCAGGGTCCAAGAGCTGGCCCGATCGGCGGCCGGCCAGCCTCCAAACACAGGTCTGGTCTCAGCCTTTGCCGCTGCCGTCGGACTGGCACGTGTTGCACGAATTACACGTCAGCTCAGAACCAGTCACGTTCCCAGCTCACAGCCACATCCTCGGTACAGGCCGTCTCCGGCTGCTCTACGTCACAGCGCAGGAGCTGAGCCGTTACGCTGGGGGCCGCAAAATCTGCCTTCTGTCCTTCCCAGGGGCGTCTCTGACCTCCGGCCCCGAGCAGGGGTTTCCACCAAGGCGGTAATGGAGCAGCCCCGCCTCCTGCCTGCCCGGCAGACAGTCCACAGTGAGGAGGGTCACTGAGCCACCGCTCTCTACCCCCACCTCCAGCAGCATCCTCTGCCACCTGCAGCCAGGGCCCTCTTCCCCAAAGCTGCATCCTCCATCAAACTGTTCTTCAACTCCCGTAAAGGTGTGGCCTGCATGAACGCGTGATCACTAAAAATAGGTTTATGATTTCCCCTTAGGGCCTTTCAGGGATGAAATCACGCTCATGGTGTGTCCAGAGTGATGGTACCCTACTGGCCCACACCCACGCTTGGTTATTCACAGGGCCGGGACTGGACTACCCTAGAGTTCTGTGTCTGTGTGTTCTGCCGAGGAGTAAGCCCCTCCAACTGGAAGGGGCGGGGAGGGAAAGCGGGGAGAGACAGAGCGGAAGGGAGGGAGAGAGCGAGGCTGTTCCTGCTGCAAGCGCAGCCGTCTATTCTGACACATGGACGGCCGTTCCTGGCGTCAGTCCCTGGTGTGTTGGCTCACGATGTCCCGGGCTGTGGAGGCTCCTGGGTCTCGGCCTCACTCCCATCTGCCTGCTCCACTGCCTGCAACTCTGCGTCTCCTTTGCACAGTTCTTTCCCTCCCTGCCTCGCTGCTGGCCACGCCACTCCGTCTGCAGCCACCATGCTGCGGGACACTGTTTACTGCAGTGCTGCTCTGGGCTGGGGCCGGAAACACTGCGAACAGGAAGCCTGGCTGGCCTGCTGTCAGGGGAGGCGCTCATTTCAGGGCCGGGGCCTCCAGGGACACCTGCCACCCCACCACCTGCCACCTCCCGCCCTGGAGGGCTGGAAACCCGGCGTGGAGCACGGCGGCCTCCGGCACAGGTATGCGAGAAGCCACCTGGGCCCTGCTTGTGCTGCCAGGGAAGGGTGCACAGGCAGAGCTGGAAGCTCGCGGCTGACTCCTGCTCGAGGGAGCAGAGTGTCCCACGTCTGAACGAACACAGGAGCTCCAAGTGTCTAGCGGCGCCATTCCCACCCCCTCCTGGTGAGTGACAGCTGGTGACCTGTGCAAGGCCCTGGGAGGGCCGGGAAAGAGGCACCCCAAGAGTGGTGCCGAGTGGTGCCTGGAGGGCACTTCCACCCGCACTTCGAAGTTTCAAAATGTGTGGGCAGCAACCACAGCCCGGAAGGTTGCTTCACCCTGGCCTCCCAAGAGCAATGAGAGGCGCTCTCCCGGGAAAGGACTTTGTGCTTCATCCACCAGCGAACGTGTGAGGAATGCGGGCAGACCCACCTGAAGGGAGCCCTGTGCCTGTCCCCACAAGCACAGGGCAGACACAGCCCCGCTCCTTCTACGCTGGATCTAGAGCATGTCCGCCCTGCGGTTCAGCAGCAGCTCTGCCACGGACCCCGCTTTCATGAACCGGTTTCCCCAGAGCCTGGCACAGCGGCTGCGGCCCTGACCGCACACAGCCTCCTCCCTCCTCCTCTGCTTTCTCTAACGTCTGTCCCATTGGTTTCGCCCTCCGGGCCAGCACCTGGCAGGAGCGCATGCTCAGATCAGCAGGTCCCGAGTGCACACATAGCACAGCGACGCCAGCACCCAGGGAGAGCAAACAGCGCGGCGACGGGCAGGCAGGGCCAGAGCAACAATCACCGAACAGGAAACAACTCACCAGTGAGACAACACACCGTCACAGGACGTGCTCTGGAGGGGGGCTGGCAAAGGCTGGGCCGGCCTGGCAGGGAAAGCGGGTGCTGCGGGGGGCTGGGCACCTGCGTACACACCATGGGCGCAGACGCAGGCGTGTTGGGAAGGGAGGGGCAGCACGGCACAGAGCTGGGAAGGTGGGAAGGGGCTGCTGCAGAAGGCCAGAGTTCCTGGGGTGCAGGGCCTCACTCTCAGGGCACTGAAGTCCCAGGGGATCGTGTCCCCTGCTACCTCTCTGCCCGTGACAAGTGAGACGGATGAGGGCTGAGAGCCGAGGCCCAGAGCCTGCGGAGGCCAGGCAACAGCCATGAGGCCCACTTGTGCGGTGCAGGGTTTCCTGTTCTCAGGAGCTACCAGTTTTCCAAGTAAAGACCCACAACAATGGTCATTTTGTAATTTTAATTATAGTTACCCATGCGCACTTTCTTTGCTAAAGCGTTTATAGCATTAAGGAGTGTCAGCTCCTAAGTGTTACTGATCTGTCTGAAGAAATTACTCTGCCCCCTGGCAGAAGACCGCTGAGGCCCAGAGAGGCAAAGGCACCAGCAGGCTTTGCGTGAGGAAGTGACGGGAGAAAAGGATCCACAGAGTCTCAGCTCTGAGGCTCCCTAGGGTAGCGATCTGCTTTTTTTTTCTTTTTTTGAGACAGGGTCTTGCACCATGGTTTAGGCTGGTCTAGAACTCACTAGAACTCACTGTGTACGCCAGGCTGGCCAGGTCATGGTGATCTTCCTGCCTCAGCCTCCTGAGTGGGGGATTATAGGCCTGCACCACCACGCTCCACCCACAGTTAGCAATCTTGATGAGAAGACGTGGTGTCGGAATGAGGACCTGAGTTCTACTGTGGGTGGGATCTGGGGAAATCAGCGTTAACTCCTTCCCAGAATTTCACAAGCCAAAGCCAAGAAATGCCTGAAATCAGCGTTAAATCGCCTCCTAGTCCAGAGAAGCACCTCAGACCCACGTGTAACATGTGTCCTTCCTCATACTTGACCAAGTGTGCTGTTCCCCTCACCCACACAGATACGGAGGCCCAGACAGAGGCCAGCAGAGGGGAGCCCACAGACCCCTGAGCTCCAGATACCGGACTGGGCCCAAGATGCCCATGCTGCCGGCCACGCTGTGCAGGTCCAAGCCCCTCCCACTGCCGCCCGTCAGCAGGCTGGCCGAGGGCACCCATCAGGGATGGCAGAACCAGCAACAGCACCCGTGGTTCATCATTTGTTGAATGAGGGGCCAATGCCTCTGTACCTGTCACTCGGGGTAAAAACCAGACCCACAGTCCATGCTTTAGATGCAGGCGCCAAAGGT